TTGCCCTATTTCATTAGCAACGAGCGATCTCGCCTTCATCAGCTTAAATCTGTGAAAAGCACGGCTGGCAATAGAGCTTGCCGTCATTCCCATAATGAACAAATCATTTGACGCGATAGCATAAAATCGCCTACAAACCATTCGAAGTGAGCACATCGTTTTAACTTTCTCGAACTGTGAACTATAGTCATCACTGTCATTAAAAAAGCAACAAAACCCGAATATTCGAGTCAAAATCTCGGAAGAAAGATCAGAAAGCGAACGACCTTGTGTGCCGACGGACAACATCGGCGATCGAGTGAGCAGTTGAAGCCAATTTCCCACGTAATTTTGCGGCTAAACTTGCCTGCTTGACTCTTTTGGATACTCTTAGCATGATTGTGTAGGAATACGTCCAGAAAATGTGATATTGGTACAATAAATCGCACGATAAGCACATGGAAGGCTAACCCGGAAACAACTCAAGCACTAAAAACGTTTTTTGCGCAGAACGATGCCAGAATTTCAGTTCTGCGCATAGCAATATGCGTTGGTACAGAACGTGTTGAATTCTGGGTAAAACCTCGTACCGTGCCACTCTCATCACCGAGCAGCTTATATGTATATTTCTTCATTTCATCCTTTCAGACAACCACGTGCTGGGGATTCCTTTAGTTATCTAGGAATTATTCTAGTATGTTTATAAACTAAGTTTGTTTACACTGACAAAAAACATCAATACTCTAGCAAAACATCAAATTACTAGTATTCAGCAATTTGAAGAAATGGAAAAAAAATAATTTTAAAATGCATGAAGCAATATAGTAGGCAGTTGAGTACTTTTACCAAACATTTACCAACTGATATTTGTTATTTATTTATGTCACCCACAGTAACTGTTGCACTTGTTTTTTTTTACATTTTCAACTGTTATCTCATTTATGCAAGTGCTACTTAGATAAGAATAATGGAATTAACATCACTGCCATTATATTGCTGAATATGCCAACTCATTGCCATGTTGTGTGTGCATTAACGCAACGCTGACATCACACTAATTAAATGTAATGAATCTCCAACAGGACCATATTAAATGAGATAGAGGATATCTATGGCAAAATAATACTTGAGGTGAAGCCTCCTTGTGACGTCACAGGAAGACTGCCTTCCGAACCAGACACTAGCAGCATAAATTTATTGCAAATTTGTGAAATTTTAGGGCCAGTTTGTTCATACAATATTTCTAAATTTCATTTATCATTATTTAGTAAACATTCCCTTGAAACGATTTAATATATTCATAAAATATGTGACGATTGACTTTGAAGCGTACAAAATTTTGAACAAGCTCCGGGCACACCTTGCGCGATATGCGTCTGATCACTGTAGATTAAAACGCCAACCTGCAGCGTCAATGGGCGAAGCCTGACACATTATCGCAATTTGACCCTTAACCGATTCCAACACGTTGGGGGTAATTCATTATTGTTATAAATCAGAAAGTCACAAAATTAGTTAAATTTGAAAGCTTTTTATTGAAATAAATTCACTTATATAGGTGTTAGTACAACGATACAATTTTGGTGAACAAGTTTTGAGCTGAGTGTACCACCAATGGTGTGGGTAATGGACCTGGATCTCATTTACTGATTTTGATTTTTTTTGGTACTTTACAGCTGTTAAACAATTATTTGGTGGCACCGCTGTGGCAACCTCAAAGAAACTGGTAGAGAGAAGCAAGAAGATGATGACCGGTAAAAACCAGTATGCAAATCCTCGCAAGAACACAATATCCAATATTGACAAGATGAGTGCGGAGCAGATTACGCAGAAGTTTTTGGTTCTGGGTTCTACCAAACGACACAAGTGTAAATTTTGTGGCTACGAGTCTGATAACCTTGGCCATGTCATACGTCACATGCCAGTACACCGTGCCAATGCTCATAAATGGCCATATAAGTGTACTCATTGTAGTGCTAGTTTCAATATCAAAGGTATTTTGGTGTCGCATATGAAAGTCCACCAGGTTGAGCCATTGCGAGATAGCTACGCATGTGATCATTGTGATAAAGTGTATTCGACCAAAGCTGGGCGTCACAAGCATATGACTGTACATCATGGTGAATACATTAAGAAGAGAGTGGCGAAACTTAAAATCAAAGTGAAGACCCCCAACAAATTATTGGGTTTAAAGAAGAAGGAGGAGGAATGTACACTGCAGATAAAAACAGAGCCTGCAGTCCCTGTCCAGGAAGCGCCTTTGATTTTAGATACATTCAACTGCGCACAGTGCAATTATGTTGCCCAGACAATGGTCCTTTTAAAGATCCATGTGCGAGAGTTCCATTCCCCTCAGAAGTCTCTACACTGTGCTCACTGTAGTTACTCCACAATTGAGACGTCTGACCTCGCTAGCCATAATGATATGATGCATGGTAGTAAATTAAATGTCAACAGCACTGATATGATGCAGTGTGTACTCTGTTCATTCACCACAGTGGAACACAGCGCCCTCACAGCTCATCTTAAGGAACACATTAATGGTAAGCCGTACAAGTGTGAAGAATGCCACTATACAACTTTAGATGGCCGTGATCTTCTGGAACATTCCAAAATCCATATCAAAGAGAATACATTCAAGTGCCTTTCTTGTCCCTTTGAAACAGCATGGAAGCCTGACCTTGAAGCCCATTTAGTTGGTCACAGTGCTCAAAAAGCTTACAGCTGTCCGTACTGCGAATACTCTGTCAGTACCACCAGGAATCTTGAAATTCACATGCGGCTGCACATCAAGGTAGAGCCGTTCAGATGTGAGTTGTGTGACTTTGTATCTGGCAATGCTAAAACATTTGAATGGCATATGCGCTGTCACACTGATGACTCGCTTTTCAAGTGTGATTGCTGCGAGTCTTACTTTCAGAAGAAGAGTAGTCTTCTACTGCATATGAAAATGCATAGATTGAACACTGTTCAAGAAACAGACGTGACAATAATCAGCATCCCGCCTTCTACACTCTTGAATGAAGACATGAAAGTATGTGATTTGTGTGACTTCCAAACCAAGGGCTCGCTTATCATGGCCCAGCATCGCAGAAATGAACATTCAGATGCTTTGCCGTTCAAGTGTAATATGTGTGTGTACTCCGCCTCTAAGCTGACCAATTTCAGACAACATATTCGGCGCTACCATATGGATCACAGCACACAGTACAAGTGCGAACAGTGCGACTTCGTGGCAATTCAAAGATCTGATTTGGTCGTCCACGGAAGAAAACATTCAGGACTAAAGCCGTACAAATGTGATCAGTGTGATTATGAGACAGCTCGGAAAAGTCTTTTGACGCAACATTTTCGGCAACACTCTGGTGCAAGACCCTATGTATGTAATATGTGTCCATTTGCTACTGCTACCTACAATAATCTTATGAGACATCGACGATGCCACAGTGGAGAGAAACCTTACCAGTGTAAGGAATGTGATTTCTCTACTTCACAGAAAAGTCATCTAATGAGACACATGCGAGTTCACTTCAGCTCAAAGCCATTTGCGTGTGACAAGTGCGCCTTCCAAACAGCTCATCCATCAGAGCTGAAGCGACATGAATCGCAACACAACTTTGAGAAAAAGCACAAGTGCCCATTGTGCTGTTACTCATCCAATAAGCAGTATGCAATTAATCGACATGTGAGATCATGCCATGGCGATTGCAACGTTGAATCTCAGACGCGTCCAAGTTGGGGAGAGGATGTACCACAGCCATTGGAACACTTAAAACCTGTCTCCAAACTATCGTTAACTGACAACATGCTGTCTACAGTTCTGGAACCTGAATATCCAACATTTGACACCATGCTGGCTGACAGTGGTATTGATACTCCTTCAATGCACATTTGTCAGTTCTGTGGGCGTAAATTTACAAATCAGGAAGACTGTAATCATCATGCAAGACGCCACTTCATGCAGTGGCCAGAAGCCCACGATCCTGCTCAGCTACTAGCTCAAATCCAGGCCTCGGTCGAAGAAGAAGTAGGACAGAAAATAACACAAATATTATAATATAATATTTTTTGTAAATGAATAACCACATTTCAATATTTGATGAGGAGCCTATGTTATGTCAGAAATCGCACAAGTAGGCTATTATTGCACTGGGAGTGGGGTCTGGTGAGCATCATTTTTAGTCTGTTCAGATGAAGGCCAAACTTAGATTTGCAATTTCACTGCTGTGCATTTATGTATCGCACCTGTATTTTGTCTGGACCAGTCATGCCTAAAATTCACATATATATATCATACATCTTTGTTTACATCGGAACATCACATCTGATTCAAGATGGCTGAATGGGGTGGCCTTTTTAGTGCCAACAATTTTTCAAAATGCATTGATGCATGTGAATTTGTTTTGTTGATCAGAGTCAAAATGTCCCAACTGGTTCCAGTTTTGTTTACTCTTGTACAACTGGGACTATGTCATATCAATCTCTTATTAGTGTCAAGAAATACCATCAATACGTGTGGCGTGTTAATCTGAGATATTGGTGCCAAACCGTGCATGTAGTGTTCAACCCCCCTGTATCTTTAAAGCTAGTCCATGCATATCGGGTTACAAGACCAAAACTCTTTTTTGAATTAATTAAGAGTTTTATTTTATTTTATATTATTGCAACATTTTAATCTGATACATTTCGTGTTATTTAGAATATACAAATTATATTTTATTATGCTTAATGTTGAGATGCATCCTGTACTAAATGCATCTTCTTTTGATCTGATCCAAGATGAAATATTTTACTAGTCTATTTTGGTGTACGAGTCACTGTTCATTTTTGTCAAATTATTTGGGATGTAACTTCTGCCTTTTCAAGAAAATTTCAAGAAACTTTTAATTTAGTGTATAATTTTTTTACTTTAGCATAATTTGTACATTTGATCTTTTTTGTAGAGTGAAATGAACAAATGTTTCCACATTTTCCTAATCCCTGACACATAATTTCATAATGATTAGTAAATTTTTGGTTTTCTGTTATCTCAAGTACAAACATTTCATTACAATGAAACTTGGTACACAGATGCTCTAAGACAATGCACATACCTAATAAATTTTGGGTTAATATTGATGCATATTTAATAATATAATTTGCATAATTCATAATTTCTCTGCTTTCCCATAGATATCTCAAGTTCTAATCACATTTTTATGAAACTTGGTACATTGATGGTCTGTGACATTGCACAAACCCTATTAGTTTTACATTAAAATCTGTGCATATCAATTACCGGCAACTGATAACCATATAATCAGTTTTCAGCTTTCCCATCAATATTTTATCATCTTTTTTCAATAAATCTTGGTACATAAGTACACTAAGACAATGCAACTAATTATTAAATTTAACTTGTAGAGGTGCTCTGGAATAAATTACTAGTAGACTTGAAACCACAGATTTAAAATCAAATATATTATAAACTTCAATAATGTGGATCACATTTTTTTCACATTGTACATCTCAAATAGCAGACAGATAATAGTTTCCAAGTTTCTTGTTTGAAAGGCTAACCACTAGACTTTCTCAACCAAATTGTCTGCACTTGTTTTTTTATATTCTTCAATATTTTTGGAAATGAACCCTAATTTTGGAGCCAACAGACAAAATTGGGTCAATTTTCACACAACAAATTTGGCTATTTTGTCCCAATCTTCTGAAGGAAGATGCAGACTATAAACAGGACTATTTTGTGATAAAAAGAGGGAACTGGTAGCTAACTAAATGACTGCTTGTATATTTTTATACTTTATTTTTTTATGTAGGTTAACATTATGTATTTTTTTAATTAATGAATTTACCACAAACTACATTTACTCAATAACAATATAGTTATCGCTGCCACAGTATTGTAGTTTCTCTTATAATATTCTTAAAATGTTTTTTACGCCTTGAACCTGACTGAATATAATAATGCATTTTATCAAAATTTTAAAATTCTCATTAATAATTTTTATAGGTGAAGTAAGATAGATTTCATGAGACCTGAAATTATATATCTCAGTCTCACAATAATTAACTTGTCAATTGCATTTCAAATTTAAAACAAAATACTTGGAGCACCATACTTTCTGATTGATCTGATTATTAACTTTACTGCCATTGTTTATGGCTATTTTTGTCTCCATGTGGATTATCTCTTCGGCTATTTTAATTTGTGTCACATGATAGCATATATGTTAAAGCTTACAGTATACCCATAATTTGCTAAATTTTCATGATATGACAGCATGGGGAATAAAATAATGCAATTGTCACTAACTGTGGTATTAAAGATCGCAAAGAAATGTTAACAGGAAAATTTTGCGGTTCACAAAAAAAAAAATACTGTAGCATTTTACAGCAGTTTTGATTCTGCATAAATTTAATTTTTTAAATTTCTTTCAGCACAATTTCAATGAAAAATGAGAATTGCTTATAAATAGGTGATATAACCAGGTCTTGTCTCCTACTTCCAATACTGATAACCATGAGATATGCCAGATTAAACATCAAAATGACCTGACTGTGTTTACTAGTGTTCAGATGCCATAAAGGGGTTTGTTATGTGGGTATGATTCTTGAGTGTTGATAAATGTAGCTAGTAAAACCTATTCTATACATATTTTACTTTTATGTTCTTGAGATATTTGTATATACATCTACACACTTGTATTACATTTTATTAATGATTAATTTTGTACCATAATATTAAATTTTAGTACATTTGTAGTTGCAAGCATTGGTTGGTTAGGAAGAGATGGGCAAATAAGAGGAGGGGTGTTAAATAATCGTTTTTTAGTACAATTATTTGTTACAAATTGAAATTAAACAATTGCACCTTGTGCAGTTTCCTGCAGTTGTACATTCCATGATTTGAAATTAGGATTTAGATTGACGTCTGTTATCTCGCCCTCCAATGCTTTCCACTGACACATTTTTCTAGTCTTTGTATATTCAATCACAGTAGTTATGTTCAGTATAATTCCATATCCATATTTGTTTCATAAAAACTGTTTATATTAATGTTTGTTTGTGACACTAAATAATATCAGTACCATTATTTTGCAAAAACTGAATAGATATTTTTGTTGTTGATTTTATCAATATGTACTATTAAGTACATAGTATTAATTAGTCGTAAATTCTAAAGTATTAAGTAGTCGTAAATTCTAGTGTTTGTCCACATTTTTTTTTTGCTGGATGTTTCCTTGTTATTCCATCTCTCTTTTAGTTTGGACATCAAAGATTCCAATGAGAGGCCGCAACATTGATTGGTTGATAGATATGCTAATAAGCTGAGTATGCTAATAAGCTGAGTATGCTAATAAGCTGAGTATGCTAATTTTTGTCACCTGTGTATATGGCAGTTACTGTATTCGCTCTATTATTAGTGCATGCTTTTACGTAAACTACAGATGTATTTTCAAAGTAAGACATTTTTTTAAAACGCCAAATGCAGTTCTATGTTTATACCTATGATATAGAGTTCCAATAGAGCAAATACGGTACCACGTATACAAAGATGAAAGTTAGATTTTCTCTTTTGAAGTTGCAATCAATTTGTATGGTTTATAGCGAGAAATCTTGGCTATTGTGGAGAGGAGTTTCCTGGTTATCCTTTCTAGCACTTAGTATTTTTTACACAAAACACAGGGTTTTATGCAGTCAATTTTCGTGTATGTGTAATGAATTCATTTTTAAATGACCTTATTGTGAAAACGTTATTTAGGTTTATTAATATTTTGTGACTGCTATGTGATGTATTTGAATACATGTGCAGGAAATGCATCCTAAACCTCAAACTTAAGAAAAGTTTCCAGTGATTTTTTGTTTCAATTTCATCTTCCAAGGCATTCAAATTGCCTTTGGATTTCTGAAGATCTACCCTCATTTTACAATAATTCAAACTTTGGCAAATCCTCAAATATTTCCTGCAAATTTGTGCAGACTCATACCATCAAGTAGTAGAATGTAACAGAAAAAATGAAGATTTTAAAACTATTTGTAATTTTCAATGAACTACCATAGATTTATGAATACTGACAATTGATGAATTTTGTAAATAAAAAAAATCTGTAAAATGTGATGTAAATTTAATGAGAAATGAATGGATTGTGTCTATATATATAATTAGCATTGAGTATGAACTCTACCAAAATTAGGAAGCACAAAGAGTGTAGACTTCTGCTAAGCAGCTCATTTCTCCACATACTCTAATTAATGCCGCTACTTTCTTTTATCTACCGGTACACTCTTGAATTCCACAACCCTGAAAACATATCCTTGTCATTTGGAATTATAATTGTATTACTGCTGATTCATTAGTTATTCACAACAATATTTTCCCAATGGCTATATTATTCCTGATCTGTGTAACTGTTGCAGATGTATCAAATATGTTGATACAGAACTGATTCAGTGTATCGGTGAGTTGTCATTTGTTTTGTTTCTGCATGTGTTTGAAAATACACCCCCCTCCACCCATCAGTATTTTTTCTGTTTTGAGTCATAGTATATGGAATTATATCTGGATCAAACTTTGATATCTTATAGAACTCATCAGTATCTTATTGTGTAACTTATTGCCAAACCTACACTTGGAATCAATGCAAAGCTAGTTGCAAGATTGTGCCTGATTGGCTGCTCAACCTTACCACCAAACTTTCAGACCAATCAGAGAGCTGCTTATTTTGCTGACAGTTTTTTTCGACGTATCAAATTCTTCCTTGTGTATGCCTTGCTTCGACTGGACTGCACATTTGTTAAGGAGTAAATATTTCCCAAATAGACAAATCTTCCAATGATAAAAACTCCATTCAAAAAAATCCTGGATCCAGGGATAATTTAATGGGTTCTTCCTTTGGTGTAAACCCAGAGCAGTTTGTTCTAATGTTGCTAAAAGACACTAACTTTCCTGGGGGAGATAATAATGAATTGATTTTTGTTATGGTTGTATGATTTAAACCGCTACTATATGTAACCATAAGATATTTAGTGCATTCAAGATTGTGGATTCCTGTATTGCATTAT